CCAACCATAATTATTTCATCTTGGTTTCTTCAACGTGCTCACTCTCTCCAGGCCTTCACACTGTTCCCTGTGCTTGGAATTCCTTCCCCTCCTTGCTCAGCTATTTATCTATTCAACATTTATTATCAAGCACCTGTGCAGGTACTGGATCCCTGAATCTCCTGACCCAGACTCAAAAGTTCTGGTGATTGGGCTTCACTTTGTCAGCCTTCTACTCAGCATCAGCCAAAAGGTACCTTCACTCAGGGAGGCCTTTCCTGACTACTCCCCCAACCCTAAATAGTAACTTCCAACACATACACAAGCACATTTCCATAGCACCCTTTGCAGATATCAAAATTGGGCTTCCTCCCTAGAATGCAAACTCCATGAAGGCAGAGAGATAATGCCCGTCTGGTGTACTTCAAAGCCACAGCACCCGACACAACAGCAGGCACCCAGGAGGAACTTAATACATTTGTGCTACACTGAACTGGATCCTGGATCCCAGGCCTCTCTGGTGTAGTTCTTCCAGAAGCCTTATGCCCTGCAGACCAGGCTGAGTCACCACCTTTGACTCCTCCATCCACCTCTGATCCACCTCCTAAGCACCTTCCGAGAGTGCATTCTGTGGTCACCACGCTCTCTGTAAAATGTGGGGGCTGAACAAGCCTGTTCCCTGTTGCTTCCAGCTCTGCAAAACTATGAAATCTTCCCGAAGCTGCAGTGGAGAAAGGGCTCGCAAATCAACGCACACCCATGCATGCCCACCACCACCACCCCCATTCCTCCTTTAACAAAGATAAACAAAGATAACAAAGCCCTTACTCTGGCTTGAAGCAACTGCCTTTAATTACTGGGTTCATCTCAGTGCCCAAGGCTCTAAGCAACAGCAAAGGCTGGTCCACAAGGGGGTTGCTTGCTCATCCCCACCAGAGCCTTGAACCTCCCCTTCTCAAGCAGGGTGAGGGATATTCCTGGGCTGCTCCCCACCGGGACTCCGGGTGGGGCGGATGGATGCCGGGGATGGGCTCCTGGCCGGCCGACCCGGCCCAAATCACCGCCTCACCTCTCCTCCAGTCGGACCCACAGATCGCTGAACTGCCGAAGCCGCTGCTTTCGCTGTGGCCGCTGCCGCCTCCGTTTCTTCCGAAACTTCCGCTCCGCTCTGCCTCCCAGGTGGGCACTTGCAGGCAGGGACACGTGGGGAGGCCACAGCGAGCGAACCGCAGACCCAGCTTCCGGTACCCGCGCTTCTGAGGCAGGCACTTCCGGAACAAAGATGGCAGAGGAGGCGGGTCCCGACAAGGGACTTCTACTCGTCTCCCTGTGAACAGGGGTGGAGGGAAGATGGATTTGAAGGATTGGTCACACATACTCAGGCTCAGGGACACAGAAGGGGGAGGATAATGTGAAAGTTCAAGCTGGCTAGGGAGCGTCCTCCAAGCCACCTCCAGAATTGATCACTTTGATGCCTTAATTTTTCCCTCACATACTGTTGCAGTAGCCATTCCAAATCCCCCAGCCCTGGGGAGGAAATAGAAGATTTCTTTTTAATTGCATATAATTACTGCCCTTCCCTAACAAGGGGTCACAGCTATGTAGAAAGTCACTGAAGATTACAGCATTGAAAGTGACATTAAAAAAAAAAAAAGTTTAAATGCCATTTACTTAGAACAATTGAAGTAACCCTTAACCATGTTAACCCCTCCTTTACCCTGGTAAGGGCTCTTCTCAGAAAAAGGCTGTGGCAGCCCCAACCCCCCACATGAATGACTGCTAGTGTTCACAGGGCTGGCTTCTAACCACCTTAACCCAGGTCCTACCATAAACCATCTTTCCCAAAGGCAACATGTTTTTCACAACTGATGAGAAACTGAAACTTGCTTCTAGTTTTCCACTAAATGTGACTCTAGCCTTCCCCCCTCTCCCGCCCCTCCACCCTGCTCCCAAAAAATATCTTCCAGTGAGGAAATAAGCCATGAGAAGGACCCAGTTTCTTGCTACAACAGGACTTTTGTCAAGAGTTTAGTTGGGGTTGAGGAGGGCGCAGTAAGAGAAGAATCCAGCCACTAGAGGTCAATCCTATTGTCTCCTGACTTAGGCAGGCAGGGCCCTGAGGCTCCCATCCACCTGAGGAAAGGAAGCAGTGCCTGTGTTATGTGCATCTTTGACATGTGGGTGCAGCAGACCAGCATATATAAGAACTCCGTCATTCTGCCCTGATTCAGCCTTGATAAACAGCCCACCTGTCAGAAGCAGGGCTCAATTCTGACCCACAATCTGACACAACCTGAGATGTCAATTAATATTCATGGCCCTGTGTGAGGAAGGCAGGAGGTATAAGAGATAGAAAATGAACATGGAAAAGACTCAGGTTGGGCAAAAAAGGTAAAAGAAGGGAATTCCTCAAGCGGCAAAGAAAGGCCCCTGTTCTGAACCTGAGTCTGGGAACCCCTGCAACATACAGTCACAGTGAAAAGGCCCCTGGAGGACAGGACCTGCCATATTCATCACTGTGTCCAGAGCCCAACACGATGCCTGACACATAAGTGTGACACCACTTAGATGAATCTCTTTATTATACCAACAAAGAAACTGGAGCCTAGAGGGGGGAAAGTGCTCCACCTAAGGCTAAGATTCCAGTGGCCTCCTAGAGGATTCAGGATCAGATGGTCAGGCAGCCCCCATGCCCAGGCCCTCTGCCCCAGCAGAGATTATATCTATGTCATCTTTGACCTCCATATAACCCAGCAGGCCCTGGTACACCGTAGGTATTCAAAAAAGTCTGCTGCAAAGAGCATGGACTCAAATTCACTAGGGCTCAGCTCTTATGGCTTCAAGCAGTGGATCCTTACAGTGGGGGCAAATCACAGCTTTGGTTCTGTTCAACTCAAAAGAGACACAAGATCTCAGCTCAGTTACTGCAGGTGGGCGAGGCCAGAGCTTGAGAACCAAGTTAATTAGTTAATTACTCTGGGGGGGGGTCGTTAATCCAGAAGAAATTAATTTTACTTCTCCTGATTTTTATCTTTCTCATACTTCACAGCTGAGATGTCCTGCAGATTCATAACACCCACTTTATAATTAAGGAAACTGAGGACCAGAGAAATAAATTTCCTTGCCCTAGGTCCCAACAAGGATTCAGTGCCATTTTCAAATAATATACACCAAGATTTTTTTTTTTTCAGTTTAAGAAGCTAACTTATTTTCACCATAGGAAATATGGAGAATATAGAGTAGTGTCACTATTACCTCCAGGGAAAGATCCTACAGACAAATGCTCATGGGCTTAAGGGACCTAGGGCAGTAGAGGTGGCTGCTTCTCTGCCAGGTACAGAAAATCCCAGCTGTTGAATACAGCCTAATTCACCCCAGAGCTTCTGGGCTAGCCTAAGCATCCCATCCCAGGTTGAGGTTCTAGGTTATCCTGTTTCAGTCCATCTGAATTCCCAAAGTTTAGTGAAACCTCTAGTTACTTATGAAACCTAAGTCCATGGTAATTTTGGCCACAATATGGGGCCCTTGTTGTGCTTGAGAGATTGCTAGTCCCCTGCCAGCATTTCACACAATCTACTCACTTTGTGGAAGTCTACGAGAAAGAAACACCCTGGTTGACATGGCCTGTCTCCTGGGCACACACCCACAGAAGGACATGTGGTATCCAGGAAGGAGCCCAGGACTGGAAACTAGAACAAGATAATTATACTTTCTGAGCCTCTTCTGCTTCTATAAAGTTGATCTGTCTCACCTGATTGCTGCGAGGATTAAAACTACCCATGCACCATGCTTCACACAGGGCTGAGCACCCAGGATGCATTCCATGTGGATGCCCCTTTCTTCCAGTCCCACTGTCTGGGGATGAGTGACAGTGTATGTAGCCCAGCAAGGCTGACCAGGACCCTGGAGCACCCCACTGTGAAGCCAAATGGACATTCACCAGATCCTCATTGGTATTATTCTGCTGTGGTGGGCAGAATACTGACCCTCAGAAATGTCAATGTCCTAATCCCTGGAACCTGTGAATACTATTGTTTGTTACCTTTCCTGATAAAAGGGATTTTGTGGGTGTGATATAGGACCTTGATATGGGAGATTACCCCAGGCTACCTGGGTGGACCCAATCTAATCACATGGGTGCTTAAAGCCCGAAAACTTTCTGTGGCCAGTGGGAGATGTGACTACAGAAGAACTTCGGGGAAATGCAGTCACTTGGAAGATGGAAGGAGGGGTCACAAACCAAGAAAGGTGAGCAACCTCTGTAATCTGGAAAAGACAAGTAAACAGGTTCTCCCCTAGAAGCCCTAGAGGAGAATACGGCCCCATTAACGCCTTGATTTCAGCCCATTGAGACCTGTGTCAAACTTCTGATCTACAGAACCGTAAAATAAGTGCTTGAGGGCAGAGTTTATAATTTGTTGTGGCAGGAAAAAAAAAATCCACAAAACCCTAATACAGCATCCGTTATCCTGGGAAGAGGTGTGGGATTGGGGAACTGGGTAAACACACTTGGGATCAGCCCAGCAGGACCCCTGTCCCCTCCTTTTTGCTGCCCAGGGAAGCGCAGTTTCACAGCCAGGGCCTTGCCTGTGTATTCCAGCCTGTTGAATACAGGAGGGTAATGGCTGCCGGTAGCCCTCCCCTCACTGTCCACCTAACTGGGCCACCCCAAGACCCGAGGGGCTGGCAGGCCTAGAGTGAGCTAGGTCACCAGTTAGAAGGCCTCCTGCCCCCACCCACACAGCCCGCCCAAGATCCAAGTCCCCGTATCATCCCTCAGGGATTATTACACAGCTGCCAAGGAAGGGAAGAAGGAAGCAGGTGTCTCCACAGCCACTGCACTGGCCCTTGCCAACACCTTCAGTGCGGTCGTTTCCCCCACTCTGGGCCCTTATCCCCTCACCCCTTCTTCTCCCTAACCGGAGCTCCATTCCAGACTTCATGCTCCCTCGTGGCCTCCCCTGGAGCACGGCTCACCGCTAAAAACTCATAGACACTATCCTAATGGAGCACATACTGTGTGCCAGACGCCAGGATAGCTACTGCAGAGCACACACCAAACCCCTGGGGATCATGCAAGGGGGTGGCCCCGGGCCGGAGCAGAGAAGAACATGGGGCGTTTGTGCTGGATCTCACAGATTCTGATAGAATTAGGGGCGGGGATGGGGGATGAATGTCTGGCCGAGGAAGCTGCACGAACAAAGACAAAGGATCCAGGAAGTAAAACGTGGAAGAAGAAAGGGCAGAAAGAGAAGGCATGTGTGGGCGGAGGAGCCTGAACTGTACCCTGGCTCTGATTAGCTGTGTGATCTTTCAGTTTCTCCATCAGTAAAGGAGAAGAAACAACCACCCCACAGGCTGGCTTTGAGAATTAACTGACAGTCTGTGTGAACCTGGCTGCCACCTGACAGTCGGTCAATAAATGTTCTTTCCTCCCCTGGGAATGTGAGCAGCCCAGCTGAATGTCAGCACTGTTCTCAGCCCTCACCGTGCACCAGAATCACAGAGAGATTTTTAAAATACTGATTCCTGACCTCACTTCCTCCCACAGGCAGGTATTAGGGTTAGAGACAGAAGTAGGAAGCCTGAGCATAACCATCAACACACGTGCACGCACACATGCATGTATGTGCACACATGCGCGCATGCATGTACACACATATACATGCCTGTGCACATACGTGCGCATCCACACGCGTACGCGCATGCACACGCACACTCCAGGAAGGGTCCTCTCCAGCACCCGCAAGGACTGTGTGCCAAATACCAGCCCAGTCAGCCTGGGGCGGGGGCTGAGAAGGGACAAAGCACCCGCTTTCCAGAAGAACACGGTGGCCCCGAAACAGGCAGAGAACCACGAAGGGCTGGATTCTCCCTCCAGGGCTGAAGGAGAACAGGAGAGAGAGAAGGATCAAGACCTGGGCAGTGAGCAGAGCTGAAGGAGGGGCAGGATTTTTGCTGTCAGGGGGAGGTGGACGGCAGCGACCCAGATAGAAGGTTTTCTGATGCAGGAAGCACACCTGTGCTGGGGTCTGGGCGCCAAGACACCAGCAGGAAGAAACTGGACTTTGGAAGAGAAGAGTCAGAAAGCACCGAAGGTTTCTGAGGAAGGGGCACTTGCAAGATTTAGTCCCACAGAGAGCGAAGAATGGACCAGAGGATGAGAGCCATGAAAAAGGAGAGGAGCAAACCCAAGAGGAGAGGAAGCTAGAGGTGTGATGGAGGTGAGAAATGAGAAGTCTCAGGTAAGGGCTTTTAGAGAGTAGAAGTACTATTTGAAGAACCATTATTATTGACGCACTGGACGTAGGGCGTGAGAGGTGGGGGTAAGACAGCCCAGGACGTACCCACGATTGTCCACTAGGAGGCAGACTGGGAGAATCCTGGCTCCCGGGTGGAAACTGGACCACTAGGGAGGACCCTCTGGGGTGAGGGGCTGGGGAGAGGCCCTAGCTTGAAACAACATGAGCTGAAGGTGGGCCTTCTGAAGAGAAAGAGGGCACCTGGGGAAGGGCAGCCATCAAGCTGACACCACAGCTGACCCCCCTCTCTACCCCTCAGTAGAAAGGATGGGCCTTCTCCTCACTACCGCTGGGATCCCTGCCAGGAGGGGGCGCTGGTGAGCGCGGTCGGGAGGGAGTGGGGCGAGGAAAGGCGTGTGTTAGGGGCTGAATTCCTATGTTGGAGCCTCCATAGCCAGTTCCTCAGAATGTGACTGCATTCATAGGCAGGGCCTCTAAAGAGGTTATTAAGATAAAATGAGGTCGTTAGGGCGGACCCTGGTCCAATCTGACTAATATCCTTATGAGAGGAAATTTAAACACACAGAGACACTAGGATTGTGTGCACACAGAGGAAGGCCATGTGGGGACAGGGAGAGGGAGGCTACATGCAAGCCGAAGGGAGACCTCAAGGGAAATCAAACCTACCAACACCTTGATTTTGGACTTCTGGCCTCCGGAACTGTAAGAAAATAAATTTCTGCTGTTCGAGTGCCCAGTCTGTGGCATTTTGTTACAGTGGCCCAAGCTGACTAGTTCGGAGGGGAGGGAGGGGTCCACAGAGCCATCAAAATGAGAAACAGACCTGGGGGGAGGAACAGTCCAGGGAAAGAGAAAGGGCTTTGCTCCTGTCCCGAGAAGGGTCTCACGGCCACGCCCTGCACTTCTAGCCCCTCTGACCCTGTGTTATGACTGATTCCACCATCTGCCTCCCTGAAACTTCCCAAATGCCCACTGAAAAGGCACTAAGCATTAAGCCCAATGACCCCTCCTGGAGCCCCCGGGACCATGGGGTAATCTTCCCTTCTCCTTCTCTGCCCCAAGGCCGCTGAGGAAAAAAGCCAGAATGGCCTCTGTTGCCCGAAGTGCCCGCCCAGCCAACCCATGTCTGACACAGCCCCAGCCACAACAGGATGCCAGCGGAGCCGGGTGCCAAGTGTCCATTTAGTGGCCAGGCAGGGAAGGTGGTAATAGCCGTGCTGGGGGCCTCTGGAGCCCCTCAGGGTAGAGCCCGCCCTGGTGCCGGGGCAGCCCCGTGGGGGTCTCGGCTCTTCTAGCTGCTCCCCAACCAGGATAGAAGCACAGGAAGGTTACTTGTTGATGGGTCGTCCAGCGGGGGCGTGTTCTACCTCATAGCCTTCGCGCCGCAAGACATCAAGCACTGTATTGTTGCCCATGAAATGACCTGCAGTAAGAAAAATGATCAGAAATACGGCAGCTCCCGTGACCACTAAACATACCCCCAGACACACAGCCCAGAACAAAGAAATAACCCTGCCAGCCCTCCATCCCTTTCTGTCCAGCCCAGTAGAGTTCCTAAGAGCTTCTGTAGTCAGGCCTCCCAACTGCCCTCCAGGCAGGCAGGGAGGGACAAGCAGTGTTTCAGAGATGAGGACACAGAGGATCAGAAGGGTGGGGTGAGCTGCCCAGAGTCACACAGCGAAGGGAGAGCCTAGACACCAAATCCCAACCTTCCAAGTCTCAATGCAGTGTCAACAGTCCCGACCATTCTCATCATTTACACAATCCAACCACCTCTGAGACCCGAGCCCCCTTCTGTCCCACACGTAATTATACACGCGCAGTGAAACACCTGCATCTAGCAGAAGCCACCATAGCTGGAAACCTCAATCTGAATGTTATTTCACTTCCTCCCTTTTCATAAAAAACAAAGATCAGCCAGGTAAGCTTACAATGACATCCTAGACATGTTCAAGGCCAAGAGCAGATCCTGGGATCAACCTCCTTTCCGTTCAGGTTTTGATGCTCAGAACTGACATGATCATCCAGGCTCACAACGTCCCTCTCTGTGACAGTATATGGCACTTTAATGTCCTAAATGGCCGATTCAATTGCAGCACTCCATCCTGTGTTTGAGCAGAACCTTAGAGGTATCGTTCTTACCTGCACTTTAAATTGGAAAACTGAGGTAAAATAGGTCCAGGGCTTCACACGCTAAGCAGCCACATAGCAGAATCTAAAAGCCAGGCCATTTGGCTCCAGGGTCTGTACAATCTTGACATGTCAATACTCAATAACCAGAGACCGGGACAGCGAATTAAGGTACATCCAAGCTGCTGGCCAGGCAATGGGCAGTCTATGGGTCTCCCTCGTGTCCTGTTCCCATAGCTCTAGAAAGCAGGGTGAACCTGGGTCAGACTCTGAGAGCCTGGTGAGCCCGAGGGCCGTGACTGGCAGAAGGTACTGGGCTCTACCACTTTCTTGGGTTCAACTGTAAAGTCTGTGACCCCAAGATTGCTGAGGGGCAACTGGCTCAGATGAAAGGGACGTTGGCAAGGCCCAGATTAGCCCTAGTGCACAAGTGCAATTAACTCATGCACAGATGTTGCCTGGACTGGGGGTGAGGGCAGTGGGGGGGGGGGCGCTACTGAGCCTACAGAGTGCTGCCAGACCGCCTCACTCCCAGCGCATTAGCCACACACACAGGCGTGATCACAAAAATAAAGTAGCCAACAGTCATTGAGCATTACCAGGCACAATGCTTTACACATCATTTGATTGCACCTCCCCTCCCCCTCGCCTCTGCCACAGCAGCCCATAAGGGTAGGCGACTGTCTCCATTTTACAGGTGAGCAAGAGGCACAGAGAGATGAAGCAGATGGCATCTCAAACCCAAGTGGTCTGGCTCCAGAGTCCACCCTCTCAAGCAATTCAGAATAAAAACCGTATCTGTCAAGTGAACAAACTGCCCCTATTACCAGTGCTTTCTCAGCACGGAACCAAGCTATTCTGTTTTGACCTGACTTTCCCCACACAAGGTGAGCTCCATTTCTTATCTCTAAATTTTTCTCCATGGCACAAAACAGACATCATGAATGGAATAGAAGTAGAAAACCCCTGAGAACTAGACCACCACAAGCGTATGGCCAACTCATCTTTGACAAAGCAGGAAAGACAATCGAATGTTGAAAAAGAACAGTCTCTTTAACAAATGGTTGCTGAGAACTGGACAGCAACAATGCAGAAGGTCAGAAACTAATGACCACTTTCTCTACACCATTCACTAAAATAAAGCTCAAATGGATAAGGACTGAATGATGTAGACAAAGCCATCAAAACCTTAGAGGGAGAAAGCAGGAAAGACCCCTAGAACTAAGCCGTAGCAATCTCTTACTTGAGACACATCCCCAAAGGAAGGGAATTAAAAGCAAAAGTGAATTCCTGGGGTACCTAGAAGATAAAAGCTTCAATACGCAAAGGAAACAACATCCAACTAAAAGGACAGCCAAGGAATGGGAAAAGATATTTGCAAAATGACAATATCCGGGACAAAGGGCTAGGTCCAAAAGCATAAAGGCCACCACTCCACACCCCTCTGTAAAAACTTGAATAACCAGTGAAGAAATGGGCAGAAAACATGAATAGACACTTTCTTAAAGAGCATATCTCGGACAATCAACAGCATGAAAAGAAGATGTTCAGCGTTAGCTCCATTATGGGAAATACAAATCAAAACCACACTCAGGTATCACCCCGTCGCCAGTAGAGTGGCCAAAAATGAACAATCAGGAGAACTATAGATGCTTGAGAGGATATTGGAGAGAAAGGAAACCTCTCCTTGCACCGTTGGTGGGAATGCAAATGGTGCAGCGCCTGGAAAAAGCAGTGGGAGGTTCCTCCAGAAAATTGCAGGGAAAAAGACCTACCCCTAATGTAAGCAATAGCATAGGTGAATTTATCCAAGGGAGCACTGGGAGTCTGATGCATGGCACTTTGTCATAATGTCATAGCAGCACACTCTCAACAAAGATAGGCCAAATTATGGAAAGAGCTCTAAATGTCCATCAATAGTGGAATGGATAAAAGAGAATTGTAGTGTTTATACTACACAATGGAGTACATACGTGGCACAGAGAAAATGAAATAGTGGTCCTTTTAGTAGCGTGTGGAACTGGAGAGTGTGATGCTATGAAATAAGCCACCATACAGAGAAGACAGATACCATATGGTTTCACTCTATGTGATCCTGAGAACTTAACAGTAACCCTTGGAAAGGAGGGAAGGGAAAAAAAAAAAAAAAAGAGGTTAGTAGTGGGGAGGAGGGCCAAAGCATAAGAGACTGTTATGAGAACTGAGGAAACACTGAGGGTTGATGGGGGAGGAGGAGAAGGGGTGGGTGATGGGTGCATTGAGAGGAGGCACCTTTGGGAGTGGGAGCATGAGTGTGTTGTTGGAAACCAATTTGACAATAAATTTCATATATAAATAAAAAAAAAAAAGAAAAAAAAATAATAAATTTTCTCTCCAGACCCCCACAATGAAAGTTGTTGTTTGATTTGAAACTCTGCAGCTTTGGGGCACCTGGGTGGCTCAGTCGGTTAAGCGTCCGACTTCAACTCAGGTCACGATCTCGCCGTCTGTGAGTTCGAGCCCCACGTCGGGCTCTGGGCTGATGGCTCAGAGCCTGGAGCCTGCTTCGGATTCTGTGTCTCCCTCTCTCTCTCTGCCCCTCCCCCGTTCATGCTCTGTCTCTCTCTATCTCAAAGATAAATAAAGGTTAAAAAAAAAATTAAAGAAACTCTGCAGCTTTTAGTTTTTGGTTACCTTCGCTTTGCAATTAAAAGTTTGCTAACCACAGACTTTAAAATTTTTTAACCGGTAAGGTTAAGTGTCGGGAGCAATTTCTGTGGTTCCCTCTGGTCAACACAGCCTTCAGAAAGAAACGGATTCCTGCGGTGGAGAAAGCAGCGTCAGGAAGAGAACTTGGCACTGGTGACTGTCCAGGGCACCCCTGGCCCCCAAAGCACCCAGCTGTGAGGCCTCTGCCCAGCGCTGCGGCAATATGATGAGCTGTGCCCGGAGAATCAGGTGAGCCCAGGTGCTACATCTCACCTGGGCCATCGGTCCAGCAGTCGCCATCTGGAGGGCCTGCCCTCCCAGCTGCTCAGATCAACCTGCCATCTGGCCGCCAGCCAACCCGCTGCCCAGCCTCGCGCCACACAGGAGGCCACTGTCATCTCAAAGCGTCCACCCTTCCCCTGCACCCAGTGCCCCACCATCCCGCCACCGGACGTCAGGGAAGCTTTTGAGAGATCAACTGAGTCTCGCAGGGGTGGAAGGCCAAAGCCCACGCTCAGGGGCTGGTACCTTCCATCCTGGAGGACCCGACACAGCCGCCAGGACCGAGCCACCAGCTCGGTGTCTTATTTTAGTATATATGCTGCCGAAGCGAGCACCAGCTCTGTGTTCTAACAGAGGGCCACCATCACCCCTACCAGGTGCCACGGGGGGCTTCTGGTACCTAACCCCTTTCGGGGTGCTGCAGAACCAGAGCTAACAGCTTTGCTGAGACAGGCCAGACATGGGCACTGGGCCACACAGCACTGTGCACAACCCAAATATGGAATGTGAGACCTGGAGAAGAGGAAAACCACTCACACAACTCACAGAGGACCGAGCACCAAAGGCAGAAACTGTTCATTTGTGAACAAGATATAGGAGCCCAAACTCTCATTTTTTCTACAACATAAAAACATCCTTTTTTTAAAGCTTATTATTTTTTTTAATGATCTCTCCACCCAACATGGGCTCAAACTCACAACCCTGAGATCAAGAGTCACATGTTCTGCAGACTGAGCCCGCCAGGCACCCCTAAAATTCATCCTTTTCAAGTGCACAATTCAGTGATTTGGGGAATATTCCCAAAGTTGTGCCACCATCACCTCTACCTAATTTTAAAGCATTTTCATCAGCTGAGATTTTGATGACCGTTACATTGAATGTCTAGATCAACAGGGGAGAATATTGTCATTTTAACACTGTTCAAGCCTTCCAATTCATGACCATATGTCTTTCCATTTACTTAGGTCTTCTTTAATTCCCTCTGATGATTTCAGTTTTCCGTTGTACGTCTTGATACATCTCGTACTAGGTATTTTTTTACGCTTTTAAACGGAACTAGTTTCTTAGTTTCATTTTCAAATTATTCATTGCTAGAGTATGGAAACACAACGGACTTTTGTGTACTGATCTTCTATCTTGCCTCCTTGTACCCTGGGTTTTTAGTTCTAAGAGTTTTTTGGTCGGTTACCTAGGATTTTCTATACACAAGACCATGTCATCTGAGAAAAGAGATAGTTTTACTTCCTCCTTTCCAATGTGAATGTCTTTTATTCCTTTTCCTAACTTTCCTGGCTAGAACCTTCACACACTGTTGAAGAGAAGTGGTGAGAGCAGCCATCTTTGTCCTGTTCCTCATCTTAGGGGGAAAGCATTTCATCTTTCGTCATTTAATATGTTCAAGTGACCCTTCAACAGGCTGATGAAGTAAGTTCCCTTGTAGCCTTCGTTTGATGAGTATGTTCACCATGAAAGAATGTTGCACTTTATTGTTTGCTTTTTCTATGTCTGTTGAGAGAGAGCATCGTGTGGTGCTTGTTCTTGAGTTCTACTAATATGGGGGGTTATATTAATTGATTTTCAGATGTTGTGGTAATGGTCCCCCAAATACGTCTGCATCCTAATCCCTGAAACCTGTGAATGTTATCTGGGGGGAAAAAAAGAAAACAAAAGATTTTGCAGATGTAATTAAGCTAAGGATCTTGAGATCGGGTGATTCTACTTGACCTCTCACTCTGCCACTCTGCAAGTGCTCTTCTCCAACCCCACCCCCCATTTTATCAGTAAAAAAACCGAGGGAACTTGTCCACACTTATGAAGCTAGTGGGGAATTGAAAGGAGAAGCCAAGGGCAGCAAATGCTCCTTCTGCACACTACTCAGTCTCTGGCATTTTTCTTTTCTTTCCTTTCCTTTCCTTTCCTTTCCTTTCCTTTCCTTTCCTTTCCTTTCCTTTCCTTTCCTTTCCTTTTCTTTTTAATGTTTATTTATTGGGAGAGAGAGAGAGCACATGCACACAAGTTGCAAGGGGCAGAGAGAGAGAATCCCAAGCAGGCTCTGTGCTGTCAGCACAGAGCCCGACAAGGGTCTCCATCTCATGAATGTGAGATCATGACCTGAGTCAAAACTCAGAGTCGGATGCTTAACCCACTGAACTACCCAGGTGCCCCAAGCCTGTTGTCATTTCTGTCTTTAATTCTGGAGTGTGCAAAGCTGTGCTAGAATGACTCAAGAAGAGGAGATAATTTATGTCAAAAAGTCCACAAAAGGAAATAATTTTCCCAGTCTGTTTCCATGTACACTGTTAACAGTTGGTAATGGCTGACATATCAGCGCCAAGTCTTAGCCTGGGAGGCTCATGGTCAGAGAGGAGACAGAAGACAAGACAAATTTTAGGGGAAGTTAAAAAAGTGAAGGGTACCAGAAAGCCGTTGGGATTAAGTGCCAAATTGGGAAGAGAGAGAAAGGCCTTCCCAGCTTCCAGGGGAGTGTGTTTTGAACACCACGTGGAGAGAGAGCTATGGTGATGTCACAGGTACCAGCCCGCCCAGCAAAGGTTCAATAGTGCTGGATACTCAGGCATCAGCTGGAGCCAGCCACTTTGCAAGTGAAATAAGTCAAAGAAGGTGCCACTCATCTCACCTCCTACCAGCAGCCCACCTCCGGGGTCCCTTCGTGGGAGGAGCAGCGGAGCCCAGCCTCCCAGCAGAGGTAACCTATGTCTCACCAGCTCCAAAGGCAAAGAAAAAGCCTTTGTCCGGGAACTCTTCCAAAAGGGCCTTCACCCGCTTCCCCATTCTCTCATTCCGCTTGTAGATGAGCTCCTGGCGGAAGTAGCTGTCAATCTCCTGGGCGGTGACGCGCTCCTGCGGTGGCAGCGTGGCGTTAATAAAATTGGGAACCTCCGCCAAAAGAAAAAGGAAGAAACAAATCAGGGGCAACAGTGTCACTGACCAAGTTGCTTCATTTGAGCCCCAAATCACCCAGCCAAGAGGGTCAAGCTGTCAGGGAAAGAGCACGCACCACCACGCTTGGGGTCTCCCACCTACTACTTTTTCAAGCTGTGATATCATTCTCTGTAACCCGAGTGAAAACATAGTCGATGAAGTGCACTGGAAGAACTCTTGGGCTATTTTAAACAGGACTTCTGTTCTATTCAAATGAGAGTGCTGTTGCCACGTGTTTATGTACGGAGACCGTGTCTTTGCCTAACACGTCCATCGTTTTCACTTGTCTGACTCACACATGCCTTCTCTACAAAAATAATTTTACATAATTACATATTTTAGAATCAATAATGATGACTTTACTGCTGAATACATGGCATGTCTATAACCATTCACCTGTCTTTTAAATGCCATACAATTTTAATTGTAATTATCTCTCCACTTCCCGAGTCTCCCTCTTGCTTTCTCCAATGTTCTTTGCCCTCCTGGCAAATATTTCACCTGGTTCTGGTGCACACGTGAGCCAAATTCAGTATTTTGGCTAAGAACAGGGGCTGTGGTGAGGTGATACACCGAGTTCCTTCCCCACCCCTCTGGATTCCCTCCTCCTGGGCGCGTGCTCTCTCCTCTACCTAGGGATTTAACGAGGTTAACCATTACTTCACTCAAATATAAGACAGAATATCTACCCTGGCTGCTTCTCCCACATGCAGTAGCCTCTCAAAGGCCTTCCGGAAGTCCTTACCCTGTAACGTAGCCATCAATTGCCACTTTAGGGACAACAGATCCCCTTTAGCCATTTCCTCGAAATGATACTTTTTTCATTTTCAAATCCAAAGCCCTCATCTTCTCCTTTGTCATCTTTTTTTTTTTTTAACGTTTATTTAGTTTTGAGACCGAGAGAGACAGAGCATGAACGGGGGAGGGTCAGAGAGAGAGGGAGACACAGAATCCAAAACAGGCTCCAGGCTCTGAGGGGTCAGCACAGAGCCCAACGCGGGGCTCGAACTCACGGACCGCGAGATCATGACCTGAGCCGAAGTCAGCCGCTTAACCGACTGAGCCACCCAGGCGCCCCTCCTTTGTCATCTTTTTAAAAATCATGTCCTTTATGTGAGATCCTTCTATCCATTTCCCCAAGTCCCTTCTCTTCAGCAGAGCGCTTCCTTTGTACCAGCCCCTCCCCACGGGCAAGCAGCCCGTGCAGGGTGACCTCCCACGGCTAAGTGCCAAACATGACCTACAACCCGCACCCCTGGGCCTGACCAGCCTGGCCTTCCTGGCACCATGACAGGCACATTCCCAATACCCCGCACCATGGGCGGGCCCTGTGAGCAGAACAGGTATGAAGGGGCCACAGGAAAGGGTTGCATAAGACATCTGTCCCTGACTGCTACCAGCCTTCCCATTTTCCCATAAAACTCCCAAATCCTCCCACCCATATTAGCTTTTCTCTGCCATTTCAAATTTTAATTTCCCCATCTATCTTGACTTATCTCCCCACTTCCCCCACACCCACCAAGAATTGTCATCACCATCAACTGTACTACTTTTCTCCGGGTATTTCTTGTTTTCCCTTCCTCTTGCTTGCTTTGCCTTCGTTTAATTTCTTCCAGCTCCAGACTCTCTGGAAAGCTCCTTGTATCTTCTGACACTTGTGGGGCTGACGCTGGATCCCTATTGTTCCTCTCCCCAGGCTGCCATTCCTTTTTCACCTCTGCCATTCACTCACGGTTCCTTAGGGTCCCCAGATCTAACAGACCCCCGGCATCACTCACAGCCCCCTACCGCATGAGGACAGTAGTCCTGGTGGAGGAGACAACACACGCCTCATCTCAGAAGCTCAGCTGGCATTGCCACTGCCATGTGGTCTCGGTGAGGGGAGGGGAGGAAGTCATGGCTTGTCCTCTGGGACTCTCGTTGATAAAAGAATAACCAATATCCCTGCCATAGGGAGGCTGCATTCCTCTGAGCTTCCTTCCCCTTGATGGCCCACAGGTAAAACCTGTCCCGTGTGTCACTCGCTGCACCAGTCCGGCCACGAACACATCCAAACCCATCATGCTCACGTGGTCCCAGAAGCCACTGCAAGCTGCAGCCAGAGTTCTGTTCCACCATTTCCCATAAGTGCTTCCTAAGTCAGCCGGGGGCTTTCAGACTCAGATCCCTTCCCTGCTCGGGAGGCGGCTTCATGCTGCCTGTTGCCCAGGCCGTGAGGTCTGCCCCTGGATCCCTAGCTCCATCCTTTGCCTGGGATCCTGGAATTAACTCTCATCAACACCCCCTCCGTTCTCATGTATCATAAAGAATGGCTCTGTTAGCTGCAGCATTTCATTCCACATCTAAACCTGCCCAATTTTATTTTTAGAGCCCTTTATGACGTCAATCCTTTGTACATGGAAGATTCAGGTGTCAGCAGGTAATGCCTTTGTTCTCATGTTTAAATCCACACTGAACTGTGCAGAGGACAAGGGCCCTCACCTGGGAGCTGTCATGGCTGAAGATGACGGAGCTGAGGTCCCCACAGTTATAGTGTTTGATGAGATCCTCTGTCGTGTAGGGGATCTGAAGGCTGCCTGCTCGAAGGCTCTCCTGCTGCAGGAGGGTCTGGTTCAAAGCAAAGATGACCTAAGAGGAGAAAACACAAGGCCCTTTTAAGTTCACTGACACAGCAATCGTTAGCCTCCATCTTATATCTTTTGTCCGTGGTTGATAATGACCTCACCTCTGGGTTTGTCATATAAGGACATGGACGCTGCTGCTAAAAAAGGAAACACAAATCCCCAGATGGTGTCCAAAGAAAAGGAGGACAGTCCTGCCCAAGTTGGTCCCCTGTGGGTCACACTGGGAGGAAGTACCTTAAGAGGGACACAGACAACCTGGAGCTATCCCATGAGAGTCACCAAGAAGTAAAGAGACCAGAGAATGGCTGCAGATGAAGGTGTGAAGAAGCTGGGGAGGAAGGTCAGGAAGCAGCCAGAGACACACAAACAGACACCGAAGGCTTCACTCACATGAAGGACTGGACAGGATATACGCACGACATCTTCTAACCATCAGTGTGGCGTCTGCTGACTAGTGGATTCACTGGGTCGGCAGGATGTTAATAAAGTTATGGTGGAAAAAGGGGAGAAACGAGGGCTAGACAAAATCAACCAGTTGGTCTGTACAAGTTTCTCAGAGTCTCTGACACGCTAATGTGTGCTGCGGTTCTTCCTGAAGGGAGAGTGTGCCAGGCTTCCCAAATTTATCTGAGGCACGTACCACAAGAGAAGGTTTCACTAGAACACCCTTTGGGAAAATCCAGACTCAAGGAATTTTACAAAACAGTAGATTCTCCGTGGGCCCAGAGAACTGGGTCAGAGGGGAAGGTGGGACTCTGGCACCAGGTGGAACTGGAGCTGGCCATCCTGCACAAGGCTCCTGACAACACTAAAGATGCTGTGGCATTTTCTCTCACATTCTCTCCAGGTATGGATACAGACACATCACCTTCCACGGCTGCCCTTCCACGTGCTACCCCAGGAATCCGTGTACAGATACTGCCTTGCCGTCTGCTGGAAGGCAGCAGCAAATTCCCTCGCCGTTTGCTGGAAGGCAGACAGACAGGGTCTGCCTGAGCACTCCGTGAGGTCTTCAGCCGGAACTTTTTGATTCTCCGGAGACAACCTATTACATGTCTCAAGTCAGCAAACGACCCATTCCTTTCTCCTGTCACACGTTCTCCTCATTCTGAGTGGCAGAGGCTCTTGTTGAGTTGCTTCCCACAGGCCACTGCGGCGCAAGCCTGCTGTATGCCCTCCTCCCATGGCCCTGTCTCCCTTGGTTACTCCAGTATTGGCTGTCCCTGTCCTGAGGCCCTTGGGGGCAGGCCCCTCTTTGAAAAGTCCCCTCCTCCCCTCTTCTCTCAAAACATCCCCCTCCTGTCTGTTGGGCCTGGACCTTCTGGACCATGCCCTGTCTCCAGCCCTCTACTGGTGACATGAGCTGACCAAGAGGCAGATACACCCAGGTGTATGTCCACAAATTATGGTCTAAATGAGGAAATTCAGTCTTCCGTGGGGATGAGCCCCTGGATTCTAAAGCCACACAATTAAGACCTGTCCACCGCCACTGGGAATTGCTAAATGACTTCAGATTAGCTGGAGGAACAGATCTTTGGAGAGGAGGGGGAGGGGCAGTATGCCAGGCTCCAGGCCAAGGTCTCACACTTTCTGTCTCAATCCACATGAAGTTCTCAACAAATACATGCTGATGGATTTTGCCCTTCCCCTAAGGGCATTCAGGACAAGCCCAGGAATCTGTAACTAGCAGACCTTCCTCCAAGAGTTTCCATTGGTTTCAAAATGCTTTTTTTAAGGTGTTCTTGGTATTTGGAGAAGATCAAGCCACACATTCTAATGGACAGGCGGGTCTGCAAAGTGGAGAAGACCGTGTGGCCCACATAGTGGGCCTTATTCAGTCCCTTCCCAGTGTAGTCAAATGTCATTTACCCTGAAGACATTTCACCTGTTCATGACAGGCTTCCAAAGCCTTGCTAGGATGTTTGTCTTTGCTTCTTATATTTACTTTTGATGATCAAGCTCCATCCAACCAGGGGCAGGGCCATAGAGGCACTGCTGGAGGTGCCTTCTTTGGGGCAAACCAGGGGTGGCCCTCTGTGTCTGCCTTGGCAGCTGGAGGAGGCAACTACCCCCCGGTGCTCTGCAGGAAGTCTCGAGGGCCCCAGAGCAGGAGTCAGGGAACACATGAGGGCTCCACAAAAACAATACAAAGCCCCAAACTCACCCAACTAAAACCATGGTGGTCCAGACTCAGCTTCCTTAGAGACCTACTCTGGCATCTTGGAAGGCCCCACAGTCTGACAAGATTAATGACTGTCGGTCATTCTTATGCAATTTACTCTCCTTGCTGTGCTTGGCAAAGCCTGAGTCAGTCTGACAAATTTGGAGTTTCAGGATGTGACTCACAGATTAGTAAATTCCTCAGAAACAACTGTATTTGGTTACAGTGACCACAGAGACACCTTCCAAGAGGTTTATCCTGATGGGGCGTTGTCACTGACCTAGCCTCCTAGGGTTATGGAATCACACCTGGCACTGTTCCTGGACAGCCAACAAGCCCAGGTACAGCGGGCAGCCTGCCCCGATGAGAGCCGAGGCAGACAACCAGGAAGGGAAGGCAAGGCAAAGGAGCAAGTACAGGGGTCTGGCTGAGTGGCCCAGGCTATGCACGCAGCCCCCCTCACCTCCTCCCTAAGCAACTCTGTGCCACCCACCGCCTTCTCCTCTCCATCCAATCCCTTTCTTTGGAGCCTCTGCTAACGTTTAGTCACGAGTTGTATTAGATTCCTTGGGCCACCATAACAAAGCACCACAACCTGGGCGGCTTAAACCACAGAAATGTATTGTCTCACAGTTCTGGAGGCCAGAAGTCCAAAATCAAGGTGCTGGCAAGGCCATGTTCCCTCTGAAGGAATTAGGGAAGGATCTGTTCCAGATCTCTCTCCTAGCTTCTGATCATTCCTTAGCTGGTGGCCACATAACTCCAATTTCCATATGGCTTACTCCCCACGTATGTCTGTGCCCAAATTTCCCCTTTCTATTTTTTGTTTTCATTATTTGTTATTTTTTACTTTTTTTTTATTTAAAAAAAAATTTTTTTTAACGTTTATTTATTTTTGAGACAGAGAGAGACAGAGCATGAACAGGGGAGGGGCAGAGAGAGAAGGAGACACAGAATCTGAAACAGGCTCCAGGCTCTGAGCTGTCAGCACAGAGCCCAACGCAGGGCTCGAACTCACGGACCGTGAGATCATGACCTGAGCCGAAGTCAGACGCTTAACCGACCGAGCCACCCAGGCGCCCCTGTTATTTTTTACTTTTTAAAGAGTAGCAGTAGCGGTATTTATTTATTTTGAGAGAGAGTGAGTACATGCAGAAGCAGGGGAGGGCCAGAGAGAGAGGGATATGGAGAAGCAGGCTCCACACCCAACATAGAGCCTGATGCGGGGCTTGATCTCATGACCGTGAGATCATGACCCGAGCCCAAATCAAGAGTCCAATGCTCCACCAACTGAACAGGTATGCCCAAATTTTCCCTTTGTATAAGGACACAGTCACAGTCATATTGGATTAGTGCCCACCCCAATGACCTCATCCTAAATCATCTGCAAAGACCCCATTTCCAAATAAGATCACATTCTCAGGTCCTGAGGGTTAGGACTTCAAGGGAAGCGTTTGGAGACACAAGTTAAAACGTGTCAGGCTCAGCTTACCCTTTTTTTAATAGATCATATGAATATGGTAAAAATTCCAAGCAGTACTAAGAAAAAGAACTCCCTCCTGTTCCTGTACCTGAATCATCCTCCCTAAAAACAATCACTTCCAGCGACTTATGTATCCGTCCACGGACAGTCTCTGTGTGTAAAAGCCGACAGACGACACATGATAGACAGATGTAGAGATATCTCCTCTGCTTTGTGTTCTTTTGACCTTTAAGGATTCAAATAAATGCCTTTCCATGAATTAATACTAAAGTTATACATTATAACGTAAGACAAGAGGATTGTGGAATTAAAAGCCAGGGTTTGGCAAACATTGTTTTTGAAGCACAGGCAGCCTGAATCCTCCTCCTTATCCATAAGATAACATTAATGACTACAGCAAGTCATAGAAAAGAAAAAGGGAAATTTGTGACTACAAGAAGGGACAAATGAAGGTTTCCTACAGCCTTGCCAGTGAGAAAGCAAGCTGGATGCAGGAGCCCAGAGGCACCCCAGAGGTGTCCCCACCACCCCCAATCCAAAGCTGTCCTAGTGATGTGGTCTGAAGCACAGAAAGAATTCTTGAGACATCTTTGGTGCAAAACGGTGGTTTTATCAAAGCAGGGAGACAGGACCCATGGGCAGAAAGAGCTGCACTGGGGTTGTGACAGGTGACTGATTATATACCTTCAGGTTGCAGGGGGTCAGGGATAGTGTAAGTCTCTAAGGTATTTTGGAAACAAGGTTTCCAGGATCCTAAGGAGGCTAGCTACTTTTAGGAAAAGGTCATTTACTGTCTAATAAAACCTCAGTCATAAGACCCTTCAGATGTACATGAGTGGACCATAAGCTTGGAATATGTTTGCCAACCTATATCCTGGGGCTGGGGGGGGGAGGTGGGGGGGGGGTGGGGGAAGATAAGGGAAGTTTTCAAAGGAATTTTTATATGTTAAAGTAGACTTACAGGATCCTAAAGGTGGGGATAATGTTAAGCTAAGACTGCTTTTTGCCCTTAGCAAAGTGTCATCACTGAGACAGCTGAGCTCCCAGAGGAATGTCAGTCACTCTGCCTGTCTCAGGGACTTGTCAATAGGCTGTAAGTTGTAAGGAAATTGAATCTTTTTTCTTCTGCTTTTTTCCCCCCACATCACTAGTGTTGCGAGATCCTTGAGCACAATGGCCAAGAAAGAATTCTTGAGACGTTGTACAGTACATCTTAGAGTAGTTAGCTTGCACGGGACAGGACCCTGTGGGCACAGAGAGCTGCATTTTCGCTGTATGAAGCTGGGGGTTATATGCTTAGTGCTCAAGGGGGAAGGGGACGTGCAGGGAGTTTTAAGTCATAAATGTCTTCTTCGAATTC